TTTCTATTCAAGTTGCATGTCTGTACACGCTCCAACCACACATAGTGGTCCGTTTCACACCCGAAGATTACACCAACCAGGATAATGTCACGCTGACGTGTCCTACGGCCAAAATGCATTCAGGGTGGAGAAAGATCCGACAAGTAACCCGTACGCACTTAAGCTCGACAACAAAACGGCCTGCTTCGGCAGGGACGGCCGAAGTGCAATAAGAATGACAAGGTGCTTCTTCATGTATGAACGCAGCCACAGGCGTGCACTATAGTGAACTATCCGCTGGACAAGATGGTTTTGACCACACATCTGAATGACGCCACACAACAACCTCGATCTAAATTTCGAAGACAGGGCTCACGGCGGTAGGCTACGGCGCGCAAGGACCTCTTAAATGATTATCTATTTGATCAGTGAAAACAAGCTTTCACAGGATTTTGAACAGATCTATAACTTGTTGCCAATAGGGGGTTTCTATCAAGATGCGACCGCTTGCGAGGATTCCGTATCGGGATTTAAATGGAAAGTTCACAGTCCGTACTTCCGCACGTAACGGGGTCAGGTACAGTCAGCGACCGATCGCATGAAAGGTTGTAAAAAGGCTAGAACGAGTTATTGTCTAAAACTGATTATGTAAGAGGAGGTTTACTATTAAGTATTGTGCAGAATCATCGCCAGATACTTCAGAAACACCAGGTAAACGGCTTTTGAACATGATTATTTTCTGGTTGCCTGCAAGTTCCCTACTCGGTAGGTATTTTTACTGAGTTCGCTGCCTGTGAAATTCAAATGCCTTTCGTTTGCTCGGAAAGTAAGCACAAAAACCTTTTTTCAAATGCTTCGAATGTTATACTCGAAGAAAGAATGCCTTTTGATTTAAAAAAAAAACATTTGTAGTAATGACATTTTTTGAACGTGCAATGGTCCCTCAAAGGACATTGCGTCTGTTCGCATACCAACGCTCCTTATTAACCACGTAACGTAGTCCACATCTACTGCAAGGCTTTATAAAACGTAGATGGTATAATTTTTATAACAGACAAGGATGGATAATTTTCCTTACATAGAAAGTATACATTTTGTATAGATCAGTGTACAATTAACTACAAAATGCAAGTGTAACGTTAGGTCAGCTTTAAGACTATTCGGAAATTAAAATTCAAAGAAATTCCTCCTTCATGTATACAATTTGAAGGACTGATCTGCAATCAAATGAGTGCATGAAAGAATATTTTGGTGCGCGTTTTCTGTAACGTATTTGCACTTCTAAGTGCATCAAAAATCGACAGAAAAAAGCATTCTACTTAAGTAGTCGACCTTACCAAGCACCGTTTTTGAAGGCGGCCGTAAGAGACTGCAGTCAAAAATTGGCATCTTAGGATGAAACAGTACAGCCCCCCCTCGCTTAGGCCATATTTCTTAGTATAAAAGGCACTTTAGAATTTCTGTTTTGATTTCAGCGAGAAACCCTCTCACAAGAACGCACCTGTCGTCCGCAGCAGACAATAATTTAAAAAGATTAAGAGACAATACAAGGGCAGAAAAGGTGGCTGGAAAGATATAAGGCAGACGCCCTAACCTGATGCGGCAGAAGTCCAAAAGTGTCGCAATTCGAGGCCAGGTCATCCTCACATCCCTTCATTAGTGCCGGGGCATGGGCTCTAGAAAAGTAAAAAAAGAATGTGTGACAGAGGACCTCTTTTCGTCCGGAGGAGCGTGTTTGTTCAGAACTTTATCGAATTACAGCTGGCGAATTAAGACGAATGTACCTAAAAAGACAACAAACTGCCCAATTACCCTTCTGTGTGATGGAGCAAACCAACACAGAGTTCCACAGCCAACGCAGAGGCCATCATCGAGGTCCCCGGTCGGGCGACAGTGCACTGCTGATCGAGGGTCCGATCTCGGAGAGACTAGAGGAGACAGACAGTATTAAAGGGATGACCCAAAACTTACATTTGAGGGTCCAACCACATCATTGCAGAAGTAGCAGCCCAACTGCGAGCCTGCAAGTTTCCGTAAACGGCCGTCACCAGAGAGTGCTTTGGACGAGGTTTCTTGATTGGACGGTTGCGAAGGGGAAGTGCCGGGGACTGGCGGTAAACCGTGACGCATTACCAGATAGCTGTCGAATCCGAGCGCAGCAGTAATCGCAATCTGAGTGAAAGCAGGGAGGAAGAGGCATTTTTTGAAATGGGATAGAAGTCCAAACTGCAGGATCAAAAACCAAGTTTTGAGCCACTCAGTCAATAAGGGCTCGTTTTGCATCGTGAACAGATGCACATGTTTATATCACTGATTTGTGAGCTTTAGTACTAACCAGGATGAGTAAAATGTTAGCCACAGGAAGGAGTTAAGTCGCGATGAAAAGAGACGTAACCAGCGCAAACCAACTGCCTGCATCGGCTTTCCCACAGAAAGCAAAGTCGAGATGAGTTCTATCTGAGAGAAATTGGCTAAATTTTCTGCAGGTATAAGAGTCCCAAAACGTTAGAAGTCCGCTATATCCGTTACATTCAATGGAAATTGGGAGGCAGACGCATATTAGCGTGACCAAAGTCGAGCTAAAATGCGTTGATGTTGGCGCATTGTTGAATTTAGCTCCCTTAAACGACCGAACTACGTAAGTAAACCACATCAGGAGATTTTGATAACGAGAGCAGCTAGCTAGACGCAGGCCAATACTACAGAAGCGAAGTGAAGGGCATTTTTCCCTTGCGTAAGGGCACTGACCTTGGAGTGGTAGGTAGCAAGCATGGTGGGGAGCCACCGTGCTTCACGGGTGTCCAACAAGAGAAAAACGACATCATGGGTGCGAATAAGTTCGTCCAATTGCTCACAGGCCTTGCGAGCAGCAACAACTTGGGGCTGGATGGCTGGATCTGTGTTGACAGAAATGGAAGAGATGGCGTGCCCCGGCATGGGAATGGTGAGGTCCACAGCAGGCACCTCCTGGAGTGATAAAAGATGGAAGAGCATAATAAAGACAGGCGAAATCCACACTGTGTATGACAACAGCGGCGGTGGCTACGAAGACGTTGTAGTGGAAAATGGGAGGGGGAAGATAAGGTGTATGGACAACCGCCACCATGCGACTTACCACAGAGGGGTGAATTCGCTTCAGACCAGCTGCGGCCGCTTCAACCTTTTTAAGGCCTGCTTTGGCGTCTTCAAAAGTATAGAGGGTCTGGCGGACAGGATTAGAGTACGAGACAGAAGCATTGTCGACCAATGTCATTTTTCGAAAGCCCCAAGCCTGTCAGATGAAAGACAAAGAACCACAGTGAAATTAACATGTGGGACAAGAATGCTCATGGGGGAACGAGAACCTGTAGTAATAGAGTAAATGTGATCGCGGGGAGAAGAATTTTAGTCACCTGATTTTTCAAAATCCGTCGAGGATGTATCATCAGAGACAATAACAGAAACGTGTAATTAATACATAGGGAATTGGCGTATTTATTAGATGCAGAACCTATGCTAAATGGTCGACGTGCGGACCCTGATCTGCTGAACTTTCACCACACGTAGTAGAATTGGGCCTGATGATTGCTCGGCCATCTGTCTCCCTGACGCTGGCATTAGACGACGTGTTGGTCTCTGCGTTACCCGAGTGGCGACTCAGTTGGGCCAAATTGAGCTACATCAATGATTATGGATTGGGCAAGCCGTTTCACATTTTATAGACTTGGGGACCGTAAACCATAACGCAAGTAACTCACAAGTCACATGACTGCCACTTCTTGCGAAAATGTCGCCCTCGTCAAGCTTGAATGTATGCTCGGGTCTCGTCAAAGGAAATCGCAACTTAGGAATAGGAGGCATTTCTCCGCACTGCTGCCGCGTGTTCGGCAATTCACGTCTTAACTAGTATTCCAGTTTCTCCGACATAATTACTTTGTCAGCAATTGCACCGGATCCTATAGACTACTCCAGGTGTTTCCTGCCGCGGCAGTGGGTCTTTTGGTTTAATTATCAAAGCCTTATGGCTGCCTCCGGCCTGTGTGCGACTCCAACTCCAAGTCGCGTGAGAAGGCGTCTGACGGCCCCGAGACGTTTTTGACGTACGGAATTGTTAGCCTGTGTATAAATTACCCGTTTCTTCTATGGTCTCAGATGATGGATTCGCGACGGATTTCGGAATATCAAGTGAATAAAATGTCTCAGCGATTACATCTACTTATTCAGTAAAGTAAACGTCCAGTGGTTTTTTGGACGTGGGGGGCTGCTGGATTATGAAGGCAAAATATTGACAGCGAAAGCCTCGAACTCACCAAAAGCTGCCGCGCCACATTGCAGCCAAGGGTTCCCGCGCCCAGAATTAGGCATCGAGTTTTTCCCAGAGTGGCAAGGTCCAAATCAGGCAGCATACGCCAGATCATGAGTTTCAAATTCAAATCAACGGCAGACTCGGCAAGTCTACAATAAGCAAAATAAACCGTTTGTAGCTTAGCGGTTAGAGCATTGACCTCCGGCAACGGTCTTCTCTAGATGCGCGGGTTCGAAATCCCAACAAACGCCTCGAGTTTTTTTCACAATTGGGTCAACTCAAATTAAGCAAATCTGTCAAACCTCCTGATAAAATAAACAGAACCAACCTTGTAGTTTTCGACCGGAAAAAATGATTTTGCCAAAATGCACGGACAAGTTTTCTCATGGTAAAGACGGATGACATTGAGCCTAGTGAATGCCAACTGCAATGCTTCCTTAAAACAGCAAATCGCGTAACTGTGAACAAGACTGCTGATCGTGCTTTAATTTTACACTGCATGCGTTTGAGTAGCATACGGCTTGACAGGACGTATGAATTAGCTAAGGATAATTTTGGTCGAGAATCCAGCTCTAGAAATCCTAAATATTTTAACAAGACAAAGCCAAAGCTAAACTGGCATAGAAAACCTGAAGACGAGTTTATTTCGATAGAAGTAACATTGGAGATGGTATGGTGTCCCGTCTACTTATTACTTCAAGAAGAATCCTTGCGATGATAATAAACAGGGATGGAGTTTTATTCACTTACTTTTGAACTACAAATCACAACTGCCATTAATAAGCTGGGAAGAAACACGATTTTTAGGGCCTGGATCGAACTTGATTTTGTGGCAGAACACTATAGGCGTATACATTGTAACGTCAGCACCAAATGTTTTCTTAAAAAAAGTTACACTTCGTACATGCGTTTTGCAGACGCACTGGGGAATCGCGCTAACCATCGCTGCATACATACAGTCTGCTTAAGAAAACATGGATCGATCGTAAAACTACCTACTAGTGTTATTTCAAAATTTAAAACAGCTTTCCGAGATCAACAGGGATTAAATGGAGAAGGCGAAAGCGAAGGCTGCCGTGAACTAACATGACAGAAGCCTTCGTTGTTGTTGTTGTACTAGCTTACTCCCTTAACCTAGTTTGCCAGCAAT